TTATAGATACATTACTATACTCTTCGTTCTTCTTCTCTCTTTTTTTTTTTTTTTACCTTATCTGTCTTTTTCCTTTTTTTCTTATCTTTTGATAAGACAGTGGTAAGACGATGGATTATCGGTATATAATGGTATTTCACACTTTACATTCGCAGCAAACGAAAATGAAAAATTTCACGCCCTCGTTAACGATTATAATTATTTTCTCGTGATTTTCTTCGAATTAACGTAATATTTTTAAATCGGACCGTTTTGAGATCTTATAATATCAGCGTAATTCAACGGTTTAATTATAATAATATGAATTTGCAATATCAGAATTTGCATCAGAAATGGATTTATGATCGAGTCGTGAAATTTTTTATCTTCTAGGTTTCATTTAATCAGCCATAAGGGCGAACGTTATCGAGATATACACATTGACATTCAATATTTCATTGACGTTACGATTATTATAGTTTGTACACTGGCTAGAAAAATTAATTGACGATCACGTTTAAAAGTAATAAGGGATGTTGAGGGACGAATTATCGAATCGAATATAAAGTGTGAGAATCCAATTAGAAGATATGTTGTTGTTATTCTTAACACCGACTATATCATTGGATTTAAACTGGTATTTTCAGTACTCGATATACACTGTGCTTTGATATTATTGATTTTGTATATATCTGTGTATGCGTGTGTAATATTTCTCTCTTGCCTCTTTTGCAAAGTAAATTAAGGGAGATGAAATATATAAATAGTTTTACGAACAAGCTTGATCGAACTTCGGTCACCACCTCTTGTCAATGTATTATTATATATATATATATATATATATATATATAACAATCCATATGCGAAACGAATGATAAAAGTTATAAAACTACATTTCTTCAGCCTCGTCTTTCGTTCTATATTCCCTAGGAAATCGTCTACTGTATCTACTGTCATCGAATTAAATCATCGTTTCTTGTTTTTTTTTTTTTTCCATTTCGATTATCATCTCGTTTCATTATCATTTCCGCTACATCTATCTTCGAGCTAACTCATGAAAAAAGAACTCTATTCATCGTCTTCTCTTACTTTTTTTTTCTTTTTTTTTTCTTTTTTTTATTTAATCAGTCAGAGAAATCGTGAACCAAGCCTGAGGGTAATTTGATTCGAGTAACTACGATTTCAATTTTCAACGATTTCAGTCGTCGCTTTCGAGGCTCTGTTTCCTTTCTTGCAGAATACAGAAGCATGATGAAAGCTTCAAATATTCCATCGAATTTTGCAATAGTTTTCGAAGAAATTCGAAAAAAAAAAAAAATAATGAATTTAGAAGAAATTTTTATTCCAAATGATGTATTGTTGACCGAACGATAGAGACGTTTCAATCAAGAGGTCTATTGTCTTTTCACCAGGCTCTTGTAAATCTTATGAATGAGTCTTTTTTTGAGCATCGTATTTCTTAAAGTAAAAGTAGTCTTTCTTGTTCGCCTCTCGAGCACGTATCGCCGTATTCACGAAAAAAACAAAGGCGGAATAGTAGAAAAGAAGAGAATGTTAGAGAGGGAACGTTCGCCAAGAAAGCGCAAAATTTGTGTTTCAGTTTCGTATACGTGAGTCCGAAAACGTCAGTTCGTTACCCTCTTTCTCGTGCTGTATTTATTAGGATCTTTCGCCTTCTTCGATACAATACGTTTTCGATCACTTGTTGTTCGTCGAGCATAATAGACGATTTAATAGACGAGTCGGTGTTGATAAGGATATCCCCGCGATTGGGAGCCTATTTGGAATTGGGCCGCGTTGAAGTAAGGATCGTACGCCTGTAAAATACGAAAAATAAATACCAAATTTCCAAATAAATGAATTTTAAATTCAAACTTTTTAAATTTTTCTTTAAAAAGACAAACTGATGTCAATTAATTTTTTTTTCAAGATGTTACCTGCGAGCGTTTCCTGGATATCATAAACCTCTTCTCGGGAGCACTGTAATAAGTCTGTTGAGGATAAACCAGACCGTATTGAGGGCTGCCGTATTGAGATGTATCGTATTGCTGCCCGTACTGGTTCTCGTATTGTTCATAATAGCTGGATGGATGGGTACGAACGATCCCGATGTCTGACAGTGACAAAGAATCTAGGTTGTAATGACGAGGAGGATAGACCGAGGAATCCATCCACGGAATAACTTTGTAAAATTGTTAAGATTAATTTATCGAAGTATAAATCGATATGCAAGGTATGAAGATATTATTTTTTTTTTTTTGAACTTACTGTTTCGAGAATCCTCTTCCTCGAGAAGATTGTCTTCGTCATCTACATTCTCGTATTCCTCGTTCATATATTTATGCCAGTTTCTACGAATGTACGTTTAAAGATAGATTTAAGATTTTTTCAGATACCTTTTTTTTTAGAAAATATTTTTCAATTTACTGGTATCGATGGTGTTAATTGTCATTACCGTTTGCGACGTTCGTTTTCCCACAAGGAGAGAAGAGTTAAAACGTCTTCCGGATCGATATCCAATTCCCTCTTGAATCGTGGTTCTTGATAAATGGGAACGCTGAAAATTCGAAGTTGGATAAAACTTTTATTTCTTATTTCTTCTTTTTTCACGGGAAGAGGAAGATGGTTTAATTTTTAAAATGTTGGCAGTAGTTCTAGCGTCTCGATTCACGAGAAAAGGAATGATAATTTTTAAAATGTTGGCAATAATTTTAGCCTAATCTCGATCCCGTATTCTCGACATCGATTTCCTATTGGTTCGAGTTTAATGTGAATTTGTTGCATGTAACCAGATCGTGCATGTATCATAATACTTTGAATGAAAAAAGACGAATAAAAATACGAAATATTGAAGTAATATGCGAAGAGGAGATTGCACGCGTTTGCGCTGATAGGATGTTGTCCTAGGTCAGGTCCACCGAGCATGCTTGGTACATGCACTGTTGCGGATGATCGATATGATGGTTACCGGCTAATATCATCAGCTGATTGGTTGGTCATATGCCAAAACGATTCGATTCGTCAGGTGGTTTCATTCAGCTTTTCCACTGACTTCATTAGTACATTTATATATATATATATATATATAAAATAAGCCGAAAAAAAAGAAAAGTGTTCAGAGTGTAAAATCTAATAATGTAAATGGTATAATGTAAATGTAAATGGTAATTTAATATAACAAAACGTTTAATGGATTAAATGGATGGAACAAGTAATCTGTTTTCAACTCTCAAATTTAATATATATTCGTTGATATAGCGAAGAGCGAGGAAACGAAGAAGAATCGCGGAGAGATATTAAAAAAATTTGAGATCATTTGTTTTGAAACTTAACTTGGAGTTCTATAATTTGCATAATATCAAAATATAAACTTTTATTTTTCCGTTAACTATAATGCTTATCGCATAATCTTGTCACCGGTTGAATATAAATTCTTGGAATAAAACTCCGAGAAATATTATGCATTTCATGGAAGCATCGACGCTAACTAGAAGTCTATTCTCGTCGGTTGATTAGCTGGTGATATGTCAAGTAACAGTCAAGTTTGACCTACTTTTGCTGGCTGGTTCCATTCAGCTTTTCGTGGACCCACCCCTTAGAAGTTACCCTATTGCGTCACAAGTATCGAACGTCCCGATAACTGCACCAAACTGTACATATATATATATATATATATATATTTGTTCGCCTGTGTGCGAGTTCACGCGTCCACCTACGCGTCGAAAACACGTACACGCCCACGTGAACGCGACAGTTTATTGGAAAATTTTCCAACAAACTGACGCGATCATTTTGTGATTAAATTTATACAATTTTTTTTTTTCGAAAGTAACTTTTTTCTTAATATATTTATATGTACAAATGTGTATATTTGTTTTTGCGACAAGTTTGTTATTTCCATTATCGATTGCAAATTTTAATTAATTCAATTATATATTTCTAAGATGTGAAAAGCTCAAATACAAAAATATAAATTAGGTATAACTCTGATATTCTTTTTTCTTCTGCCCGTTACTGAGAATATAAATTAATTAATCGTTTATAAAGTAATTAATTTTTCGTATTTTTTTTAACCAAGCCAATAACGGAGATTTTTCACAAGATTTTATAGCCTTTTAAATCTTGACATTTTTTTCCACATAATATTAAATTATTTCGCTTCGATATTATTTTACAACGTTGTAAGCGAAATGACCCGTGACATTTATTTACAGGTCAAGTAATATACACTTGGAACTATGTTGGCGCATAAAAATAAAAGTTTGACGTAAGAAACTTAAAAGTAATTGATCATGCTGTGACGTATAGCAGAACGTCATTGTCTCTATATCTTTTAGTTAATGATGACGATTCTACGTAAACGTGGTACGCTATAAATACCATCGATAGCCTTCGTTACGAAACTACTATCGACGACTTCCGATTTGAATTGGGACGCCTACAAATTTTTCTTATATAATATAACGAGCCGTAGATTGTTAAATGATAAATAAAAATGAAGGGGAAAAAGAAGGAAAATAGAGAAAAATATAAATTGTATCCTATTTTTTTTTTTATAGTCGTTCTAATTCTTTTTGTAATGCCTCTTTCTCATAATCTACGAATTAAAATGGCGAAAGGAGGGATCGATTGTGGTATGCTGATCAACTTTGATAACGACAGCTTCTCCAAGTCGTATTGAACCGACTTGGTCGTCTACTGGCGTTTCTGCCGAGGGCAACGCCCTCGCCAGCCCTCTCATCCCCATTCAGAAGAAACGTCGAAGAAAAAGAGGGATGTCCCGAGTAAGAGGACGGGAAGCTTTCGCAAGGGGTGGAAATTACAGACGTGTTAGCGAGTCGATTCACTGTGCCCGAGGCAGTTTGTTCTACAGGTGAATACGTTATAATTCCGCATGAAAATGCATTCAACAAAATGAAAGCAACATTGGACCAGTATTGGAAAAAATGTTTAAACAGTAAGGAATATAGATATAGTTCATTGAACACTGGAACAACTTATTTATTTTTCTTTTCTTTTCGTCCTTCATTAATCTAAAAGTGCAATGTAATTAAATTCTCACTTACTTTCTCTTCACTTGCGTCTGCACAGATTGCTGAGCAGATGTTGGAGACTGGAACGAAGTGGTCGATGGTTTTATGGTTGTTGATCCAGCCGCTGATTTCTCGGATCTTTTCCGACGATCTTCGTTCGCGTGGTAACGAGAGTAGGACGAACTATCCCATACCTGGGGCATCTCGTATCCCAGCTCATTTATTGTGCCATAACTGAAACACAAAATAGAGATCACACTGCTTAATGTTCAACTTTATAACAATAATATATAAATTTTAAAAAGCATAAAGCATTGTTGTATCGATTTATCAAACAAAGTTACCTACTCGTAATTTTTATGATCATAGAACGGATTGCTGGGCGCATTAGAACGAGAGAGTGGTTTTTCCTCTTCGACAAGGGCTGCCTTTAATCCGCCTAATCCTGACGCAGTTCCTTGGATAAATAAGATTGATAAAAATGGTTAAAAACAGTCTTTGCTTGCAAATTAAATGTTTGGAAATTTATTTACTTTTTTCCGCGCTGGACGAATACGAAGACGAGGTTGGATTATTCTCTGGTTGGCGATTTTGTTGGTTTCCGAACATCAACATTTCCTGTGCCCGTTTAGCTGGAATCAAAAGGAGTATAAATTGACGTCAGGCGTCATCATTGATATTTTATATAAGGTAAGATGTGCCCTTACATTTTGCTCTCATCGTTTGTTCAGTCTTTTTTGTATCTTCTGCCAGATTTGTTGGCAAAGAGTGGACAATCATGAGGAGAGAGCACAGAGTGAATAACCACACCCAGTCGCACATCATCTGAAATAAAAAGTTGATTTTTTTTTTTTTAATTTAAAACCTTTAAATTTGATCGATTTTCAGGCCTATTGTACCTGAAGAGGGTATACCCTTTATTGGCTAAGGTTATGCAAAGGGTTTCTTGACCCTTTAATCAAACATGAAATTGATTGAAGGTGTAGTCAGAAGAGTAGGGTTGCTATAAAGCGTCCCCCTCTCCGTGCACAGACGTTGACGTTTACACCCCTCGCAAGTAAATGAAGATAGCAGGTCACAACGAAAGAATCTTAAATGTCGCATTATGATGCGAAATGTCAGGAATCTATTTCCATTTCTTCCATGTGAAAAATTAAAGGGCATATATGTAGGAAACCTTCCATAGGTGGTTGTAAAATGTTTATCCAATTTCAAAACAGTGAGATAATAAATCCCATTCTATTTAATTTGTGATAATGGAATAAAAAAAAAAGAAAAAGATTAATTTTCTTTATATTTCAATTATATGGGATTAATTTTTATTCACAAGTGAGCGGGCTGGAATCAGAGCGGGGTGGAAACCGGTTATGTCACTCTCAACGAGTGACAACCGATAATTTAATCAACAAGAGTTCTGCGACGTACGCTCAATTAGTTTGCATCGATGGAAACGGGAGTTAATTAGAAATCCGATTAACCGAATCCCAGCGAAGCAGGGGTTTGCTATCATAATTCTACTCGTAATAGATATCCCATATTAATATGAAATGTCACAGTTCAAAAAGATGTTTCAATCACGTGTAATTACGTGATCGATAAATAAATATTACTAATCTTATACTTTCTCTTCTATCATTTTCATTTCCTCTTTCTTCTCGTTTTTAAAAAAATATCAAATAAACATTTTTCAAAGACGAGGGAAAGAAAAAAGCTCGAGAGATTTAACACGTGAACATCATTGAACAATTAAAGGTGTCCAGGAAATAAAGCTAAATCGGATATAAGTAGACCCAGAAATCGCACACTTGTTGCGTCTAGAAATGCTATAGTCATTTATCGCGTTGTATACGCGTCTATGTAACTCGCAATTAAAAATACATTTCATTCACTGTGCTTTCATTGACAATATCCAGACACTCGTGAAACACTCGATATTATCTGTCTTAAAGAAACCAAAAAAAAAAAAAAGAAGGCGTGTTTCGACGATTCTCTTTCGAATCTTTATCATCGCGTAAAAGTTACAGATTTTCGCGTACGTCCTTACGATTTAATAATATTCTTATTACACGAAAGAAAAAGCTTTCTTTGGGGAATTCTTCTACAGATTCGAAGGAAACGCTGTACATATCCCCTGGATAAGGGATACTTCGTGACCAAGCAGTTTCTATTCTATTTATACGCGAGCGGGCAGCTTTATCTCACGAAAGTTGGGCCAATTAATAAATCGATCCAAGGATCGATCACCGTTCCGACTCGAGCCACGCTACAACTCTTCGTACAACTCGAATGAGAGTATTGAACAAGTATTGAACAAGGGCTGAGTTCTGTTCACCTTTCTGCTTCCTTGATCGCCCCTCGGTCAGATTTCTTCTTTTCTTCCGGACGAGTGGTTCTTCCAAGGGTGCCGGCGAGTTCGGCTGATCGAGGCAGAATGAACGTTGGGGCCGAGCAGGACGGCTAGAAAACTGGCGAGAGGGTACGGTCGATCAACCACCCCCACCTTAGTGAACGAACACCCCTACCTCTGAAAGCAACCCCTACCGCGTCCCCACGATATGACGTGCACACGCGCACGATTACACGGGCGTTCTGTGTGGAAACACGCACGCACATTATCGCAGCCACGTCTGCCCACGCGATGACCCGACCAGATCTATCTTTCAAAATTCTTCTCCTAATGGACGTCGCATCTTGGTCAACTTGGTTGTATTGTATTTCAAAAATTCGGCCTTGTTCTAATCTCTTCTTTGTGAATCCCTTCTTTTCAATTAATTGTCTACTATTCGTCGAATATTTCAGTGGCATGTACGTTTCTCATTCAACAGACAGAGAGAGGGGGGGAGGGGGGAGGGGGGAGAGGGGGGGTGGGAGGGAGGGGAGGGAGGGGAGGGAGGGAGGGAGGGAGGGAGGGGAGAGGAGGAGGAGAGAGAGAGAGAGAGAGAGAGAGAGAGAGAGAGAGAGAGAGAGAGAGAGAGAGAGAGAGAGAGAGAG